TAATTGCCGCCGATCCCGCTTCCGCGTTTCCCGGCCCGGGGAAAAATCCCGCATCTCCGGCCCCGGGAAGCGTGGAAAATAGGGCTGGAATGGAAGAGCAGTTACGCTGTTACGTCACGAAAGCGACGGATTGTCCCGACCCGTGTCTCTTGGAGGCCGAACCGATTAGACGCAGGGAAGAGCTACGCTTTGTGTCCGACACCCAGGTTTATCGGCGGATCCAGAAAATTGGTAAAATTGTATTTTCTCCATTTAAATCTATGGAAATGTATCGATTCTTGAAGGGGCCAGGAGCTCCGACAAGAATCAATTATTTAGCATTCGTTTAAATGGAGGCAATCCGGTGTTGCCAAATTTTTGGACCCGCCTCTGCCCACGTTTTCTGTCTGGGTTACCGACGGAGACAATGTATTTTGGAGATCTCTTCCGATTTGTGTAAAAGTTACTCGATAAAGTCAATCGTTAGATTCGTATGATGATGACTCATTGTTACCTCTCTGACGTGCTGGCGTATCACAATTTCTATTTGAACTCTGTTTTACACACAAATTCATGCTTTCTAGGGCTCATGTGGAAATCTAGATATTCCCTTACATTAGAAGAGCGACGCCATGACCAAACAATTGAGCTATCGATTCAGCGATTTTAATCTAATTTGCAAAAACTCAGGGAGAAAAGTGCTCACTCTGGTATTTTTCAATCAAATACTAGACAAATTTTATTTAATTTTTGTCCAGTAGTTCATAGTCATAGCCGTAGTGAGGTTATGCAACGCGAAAGCGAAGGAACAATTTTAAAACCCCTGGATGCAACTATTCGAGCTTCATGGACGTGCGTGAAGCATGCAAAAAATTGAGGGCGCTTTGCCGTTCGGCTTCGCTCTTTTCTTTTCCGTGTGGCAATGCGCTCTACACTCCTCACGCCGCGCAGTTAATGATTGCAGCTAGCCCAATTTTACACTCACAATCAAGTACAATATATTTTTAAGACTCAGTTCTGCCATCGTCTTTTTGCTGTAAGAATTATTTGGGAAATTAAACGCTTAAATTTTCCTGATTATGACTCATGACCAAAGAATTGAACCGTCAGTTTACCAACCCTAATCTAGTTTACATAAACGCTCCTAGCAAAGTGGTTAACCCAACACTCATCGATTACCATTGAGTGAATTATATTTTATCGTTTGCTCGAAATGTGGATCTTATCAACGATAATTAGGCAAAAAATATCGTTGACATCCAAACTTAACTTTTGTCTCACTCAACTACATTTCTTTATCAGTGCGAGGCCTCTAAAATAACTTATTTCCGAGTGTTTTCTCAAGATCTTTAGTTATAAATTCGTTTTCAATTATGCAAAGGCATAGAAGAGTGACTCTCTAAGGCGTGAAACTTCCCCCAGTTGCTCTTATTTGTATAATGAGCATTTACGTGTTGCAGGTAATCAATTAATTGTCCGTATACTATTTCTCTGACTGCATGGTGCGGTACCTAAGCCTACCTGAATGCAAAACTCACACGCAAGCCTTGATTACTCTGCTGTGCTACGCAAGAACGCCGTAAGAGCTTTCAGACGTTGCCAAATTTCCTTCGATAAAACACGAATTTCCTGGTTAAATTAAAGGTTTTTTCTTCCAATTTTTTAAATAATTATGTTCGTAATTTTACCCAAAATTCTTGAAAATTTCAAGGAAAAATATTCATAACTTTCCTTAGCAATCAACGTTTTATCAAAGGAAATTTGGCAACTCTCGAATGTTCATAGCTCATTTTTCCATAGCACGCAGTACTCTGACAAAAAGGGGTCAAACCCGCTCAGTGGTACGGAAAAAAGGGTCGTTATCAACGAACAAAGCTAGCTACTTGAAGAAAAGGAGTTGTTAAAGGAACGACCATAGCTCTAAATGGTTTGGATATTGAGAGCTACAGTACAGATATGAAGTTAAATTTTAATACAGCATGAAGTCACCCGGGCCCTGGGGCGATCCCCTCTTATTTACGATCAAATCTATTTATTTTTCCACTTTATTTTCCTCCAGTCCCTTTCCTTTATGATTCGCTTCGAGAATAAGCGAATTTTATGTCGAAGTTCGGATTTTCTTTCGAGTTCCGTTCAATTCGGTTTCAGCAGTCTTATCAGCGATCAGATTTAACCTGCAGATTGGTAAAAATTCCAGAAGTTCCTCTTAAAGCATATCGCAAGATGCGTTCAAAAATCATCAAAACATTGCGAATCAATGTCAATGAAGGAGGAATTCTGTTGTAAAAACAACGGATGAAATCTCGCTCACAATCAGTCCGAATTGTCGTGAGACCAAGAGAAATTTTGACTTGATTGGTTTTTCGTCTTATCCGCTTTACCACTTTTTGTTAGCATGCAGAATGCTCGAAAGTTCTAGCTAAGCGATTTCAAGCAACTTTCAAGTGATTTTTTTATAGGTAACTTTGACAAATTTTTCAAGAATCGATAATAAATCTAAATTTTTTTAGGTGATTTTTCAAAACCTCTTTACTTCAAAAAAATCATCGAAGGACATCGAAAGTAACAGATTTTCAACCTCTTACTTCCGCGCTTCCTTAAAAAATTCAATACGTCATCATAAACCTAATTTTTGAAAAAAAAAATTATACATAAAATCGCTCCTTTCTCTTGATTTTTCATGTGGGTATGAAATCGAATTTTTTCAGGTTTTCCGATAATTTTTCTTCTATTTAAGCAGCTTTAACTTCGCAACGAAAGTCACGGATTCGTCTTAATCATAATTTTTATACATTGTACCTTCTGCCAGTGTCTACGGACCAAAGAAATTTCGACTTAAGGTGATTCGATGGACGCCATATTTTATATCAGAGCGGCATGCGATATATCGCATCAATTGGTTCCATTTTTTCAGCTACTCGTCATTTTTCTCCAATTTTGAGATCGCAATACTGTTGTCAGGAGACTATATCACTCACTCACCAATTCTAAAAAAGAAATTCAACGTAATAAAGGCGTGGTATTTTTAGAGAGAAAACATCGCATTCGATACTGATATCGAAACTGCACTCGAATGCGATATTTTCTCTCTAAAAAACCACGCCTTTATTACGTTGAATTTCTTTGTTAGAATTGGTAAGTGAGTGCTTTAGACTCCTGACAACAGAATTGCGATCTCAAAATAGGAGAAAATTGACGAGTAGCTGTAAAAATGGAACCAATTGATGCGATATATCGCATGCCGTTCTGACACAAAATATGGCGTCCATCGAATCACCTTTAGCGGGGTTTCGTCTCACGTAACCGTGATTCGACTTAGCGAGATTTCACAGTAGCTGCGAACGTAGGAATATTTTTTTAGTGGGCACAAAACGCTTGCTCCGGACCTTTGGAAGTTCTCTTTACCTTCGTCCAACCCTCGCGAAGTCCACACCCAACCAACAGCGACCCAGACCCCGCATATTTGTCCTTACCGTACAGCCGTGTAAAGGAAAAACGCCGTATGAACATGCAAATGTTGCCTGTCTCCCGCGATTAATTGAGTATTTTAGAGGGTAGCTATGAATAGTTCTTCCTGAAATTTTCAGATATTTTGAGTAAAATTGCAGATAAAAATACCTGAAAAATTGAAAGGAAAATATTCACAAGTTTCTCGGAAAATCCGTAGTTTTTCAAAGTGGATTTGGCAACGTCCGAAGGCTCATACGGCGTTTTTCCTTAGCACGGCTGTGCAGCTCGACGTGATTCACGAGTCTTGACCATGACACTGCCTCCATATCACACATGCTTCACCACTTATTAACGGACAATAAGCCTCGCCCTGACGTTCACACTGCCCGAGTGCTCTTTTTTCTCGGGCAATATGAGTTTCCGAGGTTCTGGCACGGAACAGCACGTATCCCTTGAACTTGAAAAAAAGGTAAAACTCGCAGCGCTATTTTCGGACGAATTAATTTCAAAGTTCGACAGAAATTCTTCATTTCTCCTGACCATTCCGAGTTGTATCTGGTTGTATCATTTTCTGGCTCCTCAAAGTGCTGCACGACGCGTTTTTATTAAATTATAGAACTTTTCGTAAGATACTTTTTATCGCCTCATTTCGATGGACACTACAATTTTAGGAATTTTAAGGTACGATGTATAAGGCGGAGACGAGATATCTCGTCACCTTCCGACCAAAGTATCACAAGCGCCAAGCGACATTTAAACATTTCCGCGGCCATTTTATTTTTTACAGAGAGATTGGCGGTTGAATCTGTTTGACAGTTTCACTGAATTTTATCGACAGCACGAAGAAAATTTAGTGAAATTTTTGGACGGCTTCGTTGAAAAATTTGTCCGTAAAAAAATAAAATGGCGGCTAGAATTTTTAAACGTCGCATGGCGCTTGTGATACTTTGGCCGGAAAGCGACGATATTTTGTCTGATGTGTCTAATGAATAAACATCTGTTACTCCCAACAGAGGATCTATGTTTTATTTTGTTCTTAATATATTCAGTAGCTCTTAGTTTTCTGTTTGACAAAAGGGTCGAAACTTTCAGGGCATTATTTTGGGTTCATTTTAGCCTGCGTTCCCATTTTTTGGGTATCTGCCTTGTTGATTCGTAAAGTGCTCTTTTACCGATACGAGTTGGTTTTATTAGTGTTTTACCGCGGATAAACGCGTATAGATCTGTCACCAGTGTCAGTGTATCAATTGAACGTTGATACAAATGTCGTCTAAGGCCGTCTCCCCGTCAAAACGATCAGCGGGATAAGCCTCCATCCTACGGCGTCGCCTTCAACCTAGTTTCCAGTTTCCAGGATAAACCCTTCATTCTCGCGAGAAAAAACCACGCAGAACACGCCATCCGACAACAGCACAGTCTGAGGACGCCAAATTTCACCTAGGATCATAGAATCCCGTTAAAAATAGATAATTTTTCGTTCTAATCGGCAGCGCTGCCCGCGTGGGGACTGGTTCCTGACTCGCTCATTCAAGCCCATTCATTCATGATTCGCGGAGGCAAATTGCACATACCTTAGGGAATCCGAAGACGTCCTTGGCTGCAGCGATGCAATTGACCATACGTCATCCTGCAACACAAAAAGAGGACACAAATGAAACAATCGCCTTCAATCCCGCCGCGCTTTTTTTGCGCGGATCCGAGGGGCGAAAAAGTGGGTGGGGCGGGGGGAGGGTGGCTGGAGAAGAGGACGATTTGTCACAGCCAAAGCGGGGGAATCTTCGATTAACGGCTAAAAAATGGAGGGAGGAGGAAACTGCGGAGTTACCGGGATGGCTTAATTGAAAGCGACGCGAAGTCCGAAGCGAGGCGAGGGAGGGGGCAGGGGGGGGCACGTTGGCT